CACACACAGACACATCCACACACATAAACAGAGCAAGTGTAGGAGAGGGAGAGCATCCATTTTCTCGACATAATTTTGTCTGACAGGAGTGACAGATACTGTTTTATGACTGAATAGGTTTCTCCACGCTATTAGGAACTCATTCTCCCATAATGCAACGTGCCACAGCGATAACTCTCCCAGTGAGGCTGGCACAGAGAAGGTGCTCAGTGTAAGAGCACTGACCCTTGTTTTTCCTTATTTTTTCATCATCCTCTCTCACTTGTTCAGCCAGGTTCTGGTTGATTGTAGCCCTTGATAGTATGCGTGTGTCTGTGTGTGTGTGTAGGTGTAGGTGTTGGTCACACACACAGAATAAGAGAAAGAGAGAGACGTAAGACACTGTGAAATAGATGAATGAAATAGAGAGCAAGACATGCAGGTACAAAGAGCAAGGCCTTTCAAAATAAAGATAAAAAAGCTGGAGAGTAAAACAGAGAACATTAAAAAAAAGGAGGGCAGGTTTGAGGTGACAAAAGAAAGAATAGTAGATGAAACTAAAGAAGAAAAAAAAAGATTGTGAGTAACAGTTTTTCTGGGGCAGAGTGTCATCTCATCTCCAAGTGGCTCTAAATTCTTCATAGGGTGATGGCGCGATATGATTGCCGCCATGGGATGTTATAATGCTGTAATCCCATGGGCCCTATCATCTTAACCCACCATTGGCCTTGCTGTCACATTACACACGCACACACACACACGTACACACTACTTTCTATGTATTGTGTGTGTGATATCTGCTGCTTCATACAGGGAGATTCAGCATTCTGCTGCCTTACCGGTCGATAGAGAGAATCCTCTCTCCTCTCTGGGCATTAATTTATAACCCCTCTTTCTTTAATTAGAGAGAAGGAGAGACAAAGAGGAAGAGAGAAGAGGAGAGCAGGAGGACAGGAACTCAGAGGGCTGCTGTAGTCAGCTTATTCTTTCCCTCCTCCTCCTCCTCCTCTCCTCTTTTCTTCAACCCATCTTCTGAGTAGAACATTTATCTCTCCTTCGAGTTTATTGATTCATCCAAACCAAATCAGGGCCAATCCTCAAAAGCTTATATTAATGACTGAATGGTTCATGCAGACTTTAGTTGCTGTGTATTTCTGTTTCTGTTTCATCATGTGTATATTACTGTGCTGTGTATACTGATACTTACAGATGCAACAAGTAGTAAATACAAACATATCAGATCATTGTAGCATCAGCAATCAGTATAGCCAGTGTGCGTTGCAACATTTGTGACCTACTAGACAAAAATATAATAGTAAAAAAGGAAGAAAAATAGCAGTTCTTTTAGAAACATGGAGCAAAAACATATTTTTCTCAGTTCCAACAAGAAACAAAAAGGCATAATTTTACATAGTTGAAACACCTGTGGAGTATATGTATCAGCATATCACGCACAGCTTGTAACTGCTGCTTTGGGGTCCTACTAAGACCAGAAATGACTCCAAACTGCTTGTGTGGTACAATCCAAATGTTTTTCTTTTCTTTTCCTCTCTGGCTCTTCTTAGTTTCTTTTTTTTCCCCAGATTCCTTTCATTTCTGTGATACAAGTCCCACTTACTGTGCACAAATGCCCCTCACTTTTACATTACCAATCCCATTTCCTTCTATACCTCCCCACCCCTTTGATAGACACACACGTTTGTGTAGATACATGCATGCGCTCACTCACTTGTGAAATGCAAAACAGCTGCGGTAAGACAGATAGACAAATGCGGCCGTTCCCTGGAGAGTGAAGGTGACACACTAGAAACCGCACACATGCCACCTCAGCGTACCGTCCTGCCCCCCTATCCTCAACACAAACCTACATACACTCACACACACACTCAGCCGATGTAGCCGACAGCAGAGTGAGCTGTTGACAGCGGTGCCGACTAAGAGCAGAGAAAAGACTCTAATCCCTGTCAGAGGATAGAAAACCACTCAAAGCAAAACAATTAAAATGCTAATTTCACTTCCTCCTCTCTGCTCGCCTGTTAATGACTTAGCCAGGCATGCAGGCTAGGCAGCAACATGCATGTGTGTGCGTGTGTGTGTGGGTAATAACCACTGTCCTATATGACTCCATAGCCAAAGCGGTGACAGATTAGCTCGGCTATATTATTTGTGTTATGTGTGAGTGTGCATAGTGTGTGCTTAAATATATTTTTTAAAGATTCTAGCTTGTTCACACACAAAACAATCGTTGTCACTATCTGTCTGTATTTGCCGCTGACGTAGACAACCACACATTTATGCCCTTTGTTTATGCAATACACAAAAAACCTAGATATTTGAATCCACACAACAGTGGTATGAGGTTAAGAGAGAGAGAAAAAAACAAGAAAGAAATACTTTTGAAATGGAGGGAAAGAGTGAGAGTGAAGTTTTCTGTCTCCTGTAACATTAATAATTAAGAGTCAGGCAAAGCCTTGCTGACTGCTGTTGTCTCTCCTTTTCTCTCTGCCTCCCCTTTCTGACACAAACATGCGTAAAGACACACACACGCTCACACACATACATTTACAGACAGGTGTGAGCGGGTAAGAGCATCCATAGGGGAATCTATGACATCACAGCTTTGAAAACTTTCTGAATTATTAACAGAGTCACATAGCTACCATACTGCCACACTCCCTCTCTCTTTCTCATATATGTTTGCATTCATAGCCATACTGTATATCCCCTGGTGCGCATTTTGTCATGCATCCCTACACTCCATGCTTTTGATGTTGTACCCACAGTCACATTTATTATGGTCTGTGAACATGTATACTGAATTGTATGTTTTTTGTGCCAAAAAAAGCAACATATATAACATTAAAAGCAAATGTTAACATGTGTCTACATTTGTAATCCTCTCCACTTCCTTTCTGCTTTGAGTTATAGGCAACAGATTACTGCAGTTAAATTACCAGGTAAAGAAAAGTAACACACTGCGTTTCTCAAAATGGTCTTCTTGCCATGTTATGATCACTGGACATATTTTTTTCCCACCACTTCCACTTCCTGTCTGCTTTTAACCATGAGGGCAACAGTCTTGCCGAGTAGTTAGAGACACTGTGTTTTCAATGTGAGGTCTAAAGCCAACAACAGCCAGTGCTACTGTTACAGTAAGTAACGGAAAGATCCTGACTCCTAACTTGCTCACTAATTGTAAAGTATTGGATGAGATCAACACTATCTGTAAATGCCTAAAATGTCAATTCACATGTTCTTAGTGACTTAACAATCATGTAGAGCTTGACTCATTTTGTCATCTGGTCTTTCTTATCCTTCATTTCCTTCCCTCCAGATGGGGAAACTGGACAACCGCAGCCTGACGCTTAAGTACCCAGTGTGGCCGCGCTTCAACTCCTTCGGTGATGCTGAGCTGGATGACAACCACCTGTCCATTGTCACTTTAGAGGAGAAACCTTTTGTTATCGTGGAGGACGTAGAGAGGCTCACCGGTACCTGCATGAGGAACTCCGTGCCCTGCAGGAAGCACATCAAAGAGTAAGTCTGATACCTATCTATTAATCTAACTATCTGGCCAGCACAGCACTCCCATTGCAAATCACCTGATATTTCTGTTTGGTCCAATAAAAATGCTAATAAAAACTTAGGGCATTTTACAGGTTTTAATGTGTTTAAGAATCAGGTCAGAGAGGATTATCAGGTCAATGGACTATAGCTTGTGCTGTCTTTAAGAGTAAAAACAACACGAATATGGGAAAGTAACAGTTAAGCATTTTTATCATCAGTTACAATATGGCCCACCACCCGTAAGCATAAAGCTTAACCTTAGCTAAACAATAACTATTCATTAACAATGCTAATCAGCTATGAGCTCCAAGACATCTAATGCAATGTGGTGAAATAATTAACTGTTCCCTTAGTATGGGCATTAAAAATCTCCACAAAGCTTAATACACATTGGTATTAATGGTTCAAGACTGTAACAGTTACTGTACAACACAATGCCTGACTGACTCCTATACACTGCAGTCTCCGTGTCATGCAATTTACTAATTGACAGGTGACTTTCTGTGTATGAAAAATGGAACCAAGCCCTAATGAAAATTAAGCTCTATTTTAATATCAGTGTTTTTGGTAATCGGAAGGGGGTAAAAATGACATAATCTATTTTCCATTTCCTTCGGCACTGTCGCTGTGTTCCTTTGTGCTCTATCTCTCTCATGAGCATGGGAAGAGGTGCAGTGTGCGAACTATGCAGCAGCTTCTTTCCTCCCCCTGAAAATGGAGGCGACTGCTGAACTCAGCAATTTACTTCCTTCCTTACCAATTTTCTCTCTAACACCCAAATACTGCTAGCCCCTTGCTATATTGTGTTCCTAAAGAACACACACACACACAGACTAAGAGTGGCTCAGTGCCTGCGTGTGTGTTACCGACTGGCTTGAGTGCTGCTGAATCAAAGCATGTAATTGGTTTGCAGATAATTTAATATATTTTTTTTCCACTGGAACAAACACACGGACACACTTACAATAAGATTGACATGCACACTACAGACTTTGTGTCATTCTTACCACTGCGTACATGCATGCATACAAAGTTACAGTCTATGACTACTACACAAACACACACACACACACACACACACACACACACAGCTGATTGAGTACCGTAGTAATAGGGTCCCAGGGAAGAGACTAACAGAGATTTTTCATCCAGAATCACTGTGAAGTAGGGCGGAGGATAAAGCATCTCCAAGGAGGAACATAAACACACACACAAACTCATATACACTCTCTGTTGCCACATGTCTACTCACTCACAGGCCAATGCGTTCAAGTGCGTTCATTCCTCCCACAGTGCAATTCCCACTCAAGCATCCGTAGTGTCCATTTGGAGAAAGAGGGATAGATGGAGGGAAGGCAGAGAGAGAGAGGGAGAGAGAGAGAGAGAAATGATGGAGGGGTTGGAACAGGGGATGGAGGACTATCCATGCATGCACAACTACAAACTCACTCATCCAGGCTGGGCCTAAGAACAAGCCATACTCACACTAACGCACACATACCCACACCGCCCTCTCTGGAGACCCCTCAGGCCCTGTAGTGTTTCTGTATCAAGTTGGCCTGGCCACTTCACAAACAGCCCCCAGAACATCACATGCTCTCACTGCCTGAACTGTACTATGGCCTGCCTAAATGGGTACACTGTGTTCATGAATGCAGCAATTACAGTTCTGGCCTATATGCTTGCTCCGTCACTGCCCCCACCAGCTGAATCTGCCAGAAACATGACTTAGTTGTCCTTGTTTCTGTTATTATCATTATCATAGAGCATATTCCCTGTATGAGCCACCCTCCACCTATAATTTCAACATCATAAGAAATGTACACTATATATAACACTTAAAGAAGCCGTGTTTGCAGTACCGGCTTAACATTTCCATATCAAACAATTTTTTTCCTGATTCACTGGGCCTACCTGGTGTGAACTTAACTAATGCATTGTACAAATTAGGTACATTTCCTTTCCCTTTGGTCTGTGTAGAAAACCTGTGGTTTAGTTTGGACTCATTGAAGTTACTAAATGCTTTTAAAGTCGCACATATAGTGAACCATAAGCCACTATCTCTTTTACTGTCTCATTGTTCCTCTTCCACACCCATTATGTCTTACTGGATATATTACCATTACTTTTGTGCTCATCACCATTGCGGCTGTGAGCTAAATTGGAAGCCATGGGTCAGCTTAAAAAGATGTCGGATGAGAAGGGTTAGACAAAATTGGATTATAGAAGGAGTGTCAAAGCTGTTTCAAAAGTATTTATTTAAAACCGATAATGGATTTTGTTGACACGTGGTATGTTTGAAAAGGCATTTTTATGTAAATTAGCTTCATTGTTTCCTTTTAAATTAGCTCTAACAGCTGCTGTAGATAATATCTGGTTCTAACTGTAGAAAATCACTGTGGGTGATTGTTGAATTCACAAAAACTCTTTCACAACTGAAGAAAAGTGCCTGGCTTTTTTAAATGAACCTTTTCTCTCTTGTGTGAACCCATTAGACCATAAAAAGTAAATCCCTTTCCAGTTTAAAGACAGGGTAGAATTCCACTTGGGGTGACATTCGTTTGACAGATCGATGGCAAGTAGAGAGAGTAACACAGGAGTTTGGACTTGGGGCAAGAATTGGCTAATGTTTTCCGATGCCACTGAATTCCTCCAAAGTGACAGCGTTTCAGCTCTGAAAGTAACTGCAGAGTCACTGCCGGATATGTGGAGGCCTTTTTTCCCTCTTGTTCCATCAAGTTTTTGTCCAGGTTGTTGTTAAACTAAAGGACGAGGTTATCTTCTTCTAATTAGCACACATCTAAAAGTTAAATGAGAGTCCCAGGTGGCTGAAAGTTGATGTGCACTCGTGTGTGTGTGTGTGTATGTGTGTGTGTGTGTGTGTGAACAGTGTCTCCTGCTCTCAAATTCATACACACAGATGGTAAGAGGCTTGCAGATGCAGTGCCGTCATAAACCTCCTTCTCAAGAGAGACAGAGAGGGAGAAGGAGAGAAGGAGCATATTTTTCAAGTCTTACGATGATCTTAAACTTAAAGGTGAAATAGTCCCAGGGTGATGTTTGTTCATTGGTGCATTCATATACATTTTACAAGTACAGTGGAAAGAGAAACAAACTGTTTTGTTTTTAACCCGAAGAGAAATTGCTTATGAACACATACAAGGTTTATAAAGATGAAAATCAATAAGTAAACATCCACATTGATTAACCTGTTTTTTATTATGCAAACAGTCTACAATTTATTGTGTGTTAAATGCATACTGTATGAAATCTTTTATTTGGTGCAATTTCTTACATTTTCTGTCACAAGCACTAAACTACAGTTGCTAATTGGTGGAAGCAGCTGCTGTTCAAAATTGGATCAATCTTATGAACTGTGCGGTTTGTTTGTGTCTCTGTAGCAACACAACAGAGGCTGGTGGGACATACATAAAGAAGTGCTGCAAAGGCTTCTGCATTGATATTCTCAAGAAGATTGCAAAGTATGTGAAGTTCACCTATGACCTGTACCTGGTAACCAATGGCAAGCATGGCAAGAAGATCAACAACGTCTGGAATGGGATGGTGGGAGAGGTAAGACAAGTGTGTTTTTGTGGTGTGTGTGATTCGGCCAATTCTGAACTAGTGTTCACTCAATAATCACCAAGAGTAATCCAAGCCAATTCTGAGAGGAAATTAGAGATGTTTGTATGACAGGATATTCCTGTTTTTCTTAAGTTCCAAGAGGAGCTTAAAGTGTCGACTTTTTCAAAACTTTTACATAGTGAAAAGAAAAGAAAATCAGCTACGAGGCTTTGGCACCAACTGTAAATGCTCAGAAAGTAAACACATCTTAGCTACTCCTGCAGAAAAGCCCTTTTCATATCTTTAATTACCAGCTTCAACTTGAAGGTAAATTCCCAGAGTTCATTTTAAGACTGTAAACGTTATTGCTGTCTATATTTTTTTATGGCAGACTTTATTCACTGAGCGGAAGTTCATTTGGCACGTTCACTTGCATGTTGATTGTATTGATTAGGATGCAGCCAAACTTTTATTGACTTGCAGTCAATAAAATTCATACTCTGGTGTAGACGTGTGTTTGGATTTATTTTTTAATTTTTTAATTTTAGAATATTATAATGAAAGATTAATTTGCATAAGCTTAGTAGTTATTAAGAAATAAATAACCAAACATGGGAAATATTCCATTTTATTTTCATTAATAACAGTTTCCTCTGATGGAAGTCTGTGTATGTCTGTCTGCAATGTGTATTAAGTAACTAAAGACTGAACAGGGATCTGCAAAAAGGCAGGAAGATAGTGTCTTTCAAAGGTATATTGATTATATTGACTGCTTTTTGCATTTGACTGCCTTTCAGGTGTGAATAATTTAACTATATAATGTAAATTTTCTTCTTCTCTCCTTTTCTCACTCTGGACCATTTTCCATTTCCCCTTCTTTTTCTCTTCCCTCTCATCTACCTGTCTTACCTTCCTCAACCTTAAAATCTTGCCATTTTCTCTGTGCCCCTATGTGTTTCTCCTCCTCCTTTACATCCATCTCTTCCTTTCTCCCTGTCCTCACTCCCTCTCCCTTCCTTCATCCCTTATCACTCATCCTCCTCATTCATCCACCGATCCGTCCTCCCTCCCTTTAACCCTGCATCCCTCCCTCTCTTCTGTCCACAAAAGGTGGTCTATAAGAAAGCCGTCATGGCCGTCGGATCTCTGACGATCAATGAGGAGCGTTCTGAGGTCATCGATTTCTCCGTCCCGTTCGTGGAAACCGGGATCAGCGTCATGGTCTCCCGTAGCAACGGAACCGTCTCCCCGTCAGCCTTTCTCGG